AATGTTCACGCGTTGTCGTATTAGCAACAGATTAAAAACATCTAGCTTCTGTTCCAGCAGACTACACGCTTCCAGCAGAATTTTGGGAGGCTTTTTATTCAGCTCGCGCTCTTTGTATTTCTACACAAGCAAATGGAAACATTTCGGTTGTTATTAGAAGGTTTTGTCAATTTAAATTTATTTTCAAAGCTTACCTCTGCATAGGTATTGCAGAGTTCGCGATGTTCCTTGATGTACTGCCAGTTCCAGGTGCGATTCACTCGACGCACATCATGCTCGAGCACAGCGGTTATTGCAAACTGCCACCACTCCCTGTAGTGACCCTTGTAAGCTGTGTGTGTGTGTGTAGATGTAGAATTTAAGAGGAGGACCATAGGAATGTCAGCCTGTTTCACTTACGTATATTGTAAGGTCGATATCGGCGATATGGCAGACCCAGTTGCATGCGATTCATGGAGTCAGCTAATTGCAGAATATTGTGGAACTGTGTATTAGTCAAGCCCACATTGAGGGTTTCCATTTCCAAACTTAGATCAATCTTGGGCTTCTCAAATGCCGGCACATCCAGTTCTGGATTCATGTTAAGCTTCAGCTTGGCATTGCAGGAAATGGGACCCAGAACTAGGCAAAGGTAAAACAAACTGTTAGCTGCTATAAGCCGAGTTCCAACTGAGTCATTTACCATAAAAGTAGCTTGCGGGCTTATAGTCCTTGCGTGCTATACGATCCTTGAACGTGTCAGCTAGTGTGTTTTTGTCCTGTTCCGCATAAAGCATAGCCTTGCAGTTCATGTAGACTGCCAGGCAGGAGAGATTCGCAATTTTAAAAACCTGGGGCAAACGCTCCGTCATATAGCACTTGTCCCATTTGCTATCCGTTGTGTAGAGCTCCAGCTCATGTAGTGTGATGCCAAAGGAGAACGGACTGCCTGTCGTTGTGGTATCCTCGTAGCGCAAATGAACATTGCAGATTTTTATTTGCAAATTGTTAACAATTTGTGCGGTCAGTTTCTCTGTGAATCCAGCATCACCACGTGGCTGGTCTAAAAAACAACAGGTTGTAAAATAAAATAGCTTTTATATTATGGTTGTGTTTCTAGTACCCTTCAGCAACTCCCTCTTGCGTTCTGCCTCCATAGCGTCGAGTGCAGCCATTTTGGCAGCAAGCGCATATTTGGCCTCCCTTTCGGCATTATAGCGCACATTATTGTTGGGCGTAACGAGCACATAGAGATCATCGATATCAACAATCACTGGCTGGCTGTACAAATTTTTCCAGGGTATTTTCAGCACCAGTTTGCCTAAATAATAAAGAGAATGGCATTAATTGAACAGTTTGTTAACATTTATTTTAATTATTTGACTTACCCAAATAGCCATAGATAAGCTGAACGGGCAGATCCATGCTATCCAGCGCATTGCTGCGTATCTTGAGGTTCTGCAAGACCACATCGCCTAAAAGAATGGAATAAAATATATATATATATATAAATAGACAATAATTATTCATTATGCACTCTATTATAATTTGCGATTGGCAAATTGATTTATTACAGCAAATGCGTTGAAAATTGTGCAAATAAACAAAGAGCTAGGCGGTAAAAGTAAGACCCACAATTTCTATATATATTGTATGTCTGCATGTATATATATATACCGCACCATATCAGGCACACATGGCTTTATAGCGGCTGCCAATTGGCCGTGTCTGGCATTTCGATTGTTCGTTATGCCCGGAATGCGAAGAAGCGCGTTTAACCTCAGGCAGCGCATATTTTATTAAATTACGTATATGGGTCAATTTAGTTAACGATCAGGAGAGCTGAAACACAACGCCTACGCAATAGCTGCCTATAAATCAATAACAATCGATTCCTTCCATATTGTATACAATTGCCGTGATAAGAAGTTGGAGTGTTAAGTAAATGTTATTTCTGAGCAATTAACTAATTTCATAAGTCAGCAATGTTTTAATCTTGATTTCGAGTTCTAGATACCCTGCAAGGAGCTATTCTTATGCTATTCATGTGTAATTGGTTAGGCTTTGATTGTGTCTATAAGATCGGCACAAATTTGTATATTTTTCTTGTTCAAAATGATTTAATTGATTTTTATTATTTAAATACGGATATGCAAAAGTGCATATTAATAATAATGCATATAGTAATAACGATTTTAAAATATTGTTTTTAAATATATATGATTTTATATACAGACGCGAGCGAGAAAATATATATATTAACTGCAAGGTGTTACAGCGCAAGGGGAATATGTTTTACGATTGGCTCTTATCAGCGACTGGCTCTTATCAGTTAGCGGCCTAAATAAGAAAATGTTCTTGTAGAGAGTTATAATGTTGACGGTTGGCACGAATGATGTACATATATACATCCATCTAAGGAGAAAGAGCAAGTGTCTTGACTGGATGGATTGGACTTATACTACGAACAGTAATTGAAGAAGCTATTCCATCTACTATATAACCTCTTAATTAATTATTAAATGTACATATCAAATATACATATGCTTTTATACTCCATACGGCTAGCTTTTGTATGAATCTGCTGCTATGTATTTTATAACCTTTCAACCCATATCATCAAAACTCTTATTTGTCAGAGCCGCATTATGTCATCAAGTTCAAGTTCAAATGTGTTTGGCTGTCATTGGAGCTGAAACAGACGAAACAAACCAGTTTCTTCGGGTTTACATGCCACATTAGGATGGGCAGGGCACAGCACATAAAAGTGGTTGGATTAATTCAACTTCAGAGTCGAAAAAGTTGTTTAGAGTAAATAAACATTTGAATATCATTATGTATCTGCCTAGCGTTGACTGTCTAATATAAACATTTATTACTAAAGGCATTTTCCTATGTATCTATATAGAAGTTAGGTCAACTTTTTAATAAAACATTTTGTTTAGGCTTTATAAACAACTGCATATACATATATCGGAGCTTGGCACATTCATGTCATGAACATCAACTAAAAAGGCAAACGTTGCGTTTTATATATTTTTTAATCGTGTAATTTAAACAGCTTGTTGATAAATGTTCTGTTGCTCCTCATATTATAAGCAAAACCAAGAAATAATACACAGCTACAGACTGAACAAGATTATATAGCATATATTTGCGCGCCGAAAATTGAATACCCTTCTAGACAAATGATTAACCGCTTTGTGATAGGTCAAAAAAATTTACGTTAAGAACAGAATTTGAGCAAGATGTTAAAAGAAAAACAAACATTTTAATCAAATGAAACTTAATTTTGACTGATTCTTAGAGCTCTATATTTTGTATTTAGTAAATGAAAATACTGTCGGGTATATCAAATTTATAATACCAACTACACTATAAAGAGATAAGGGTAAAACGAAACCAGAAGCTTAAATAACCTCTATTTCCCAACTGGATTACTCATAGGAGCTGTAAGCAGATGGGATTTATTCCATATGTTAGATGTTTAAATGTCAAAATTGCTTAAGATTTCATTTAATGACAGCCTTCTACATATTTTTTGTCTGTGGGATCGTAACAAAATTCAAATACCTTTAGAAAGAGTATATAAATACTGCTGAAACCACATAAGTGTTGATAGGGGGGCGGCTGAGGAAGCAGCGGAAGCAACAGATAAACAGCCTCAAAGAGCAGACGCATTGCCATTCACACACACAAACAAACCGACACGGGAGAGAGCGTTTTCGCCGCTCTCTCACGTCCCCATGCAAATATTTTGCAATTGGGTCACTGTGCAATGCCTGAAGGATAAGGTCGCGAGCAGACACGATGAGATCAAGAGCAATATATAGCGTGGCGTTCGGTAATTAATTATGCCAAATGCGCCCGTTGCGTGACATTTAATTGTGCTGACTTTAGTACACAGTTGGGAGTATTTATTTGTTATAAACTCACCGCCCCAGATGCCGATTTTCAACTGTTTGTGATCCAAATTCTCGATGTAGTCACCCAGCACCTTGTTGAGCACATCAGCCACCACGGCCTCGAATACCATCCTGAAGGCGTCTTCGTCGTCGTCGTCGCCGGCGTCTTAGTCGCAAATGTGCCGTTGTCAGCGCTTTTCAAGTCCAGCTGTTGGCAGCCAAGAAATCGGCTGCTTATTGATTTGTAGTCTTTCGTATGTGTTTGTTATTGTTTAACTAATTTGTGTGTGCGTGTGCGTGGATTTGATGAACGCTCTCGGTTTGTATGAATTTAGCCTTTTCTAAACATTAGAACAGAAACAGAATGGAAATGGATTTGTGAGAAAAAATAAAACTTAGCGCAGATGATGTCATCACCAACAACCATCAGCAGAAAACACAACCAAAACATGCCAACAGAATAGGCAGACACTGTATTTAAATGATTCGTCAAGCATTACAACAATAAAAACAACAAGAGCAAAGCATTTGGCATTGTTTTCAAGTATTACGTTAATTAGCGTATGTGTGTGTGTGTGTGTTAAAACACCACTATAGCCGATATGAAACCACTTCTATTATTCCTTCTTCTTGCGCACTTTATGCAAAGCTTTATCTTAAATTACCAAATGGTACAAAACAGCAACAACGCCAAAGAAAATTTACCTTGCACAGTGTGACATTTTCACTGCGCAGTAAAAAAAGCACGCGCAGCACCGACCAGCGATGGGATAAAACTAAACTCTAAAAGGCAACAGCTGTGCTGTGGGGCCTTTCAGGTGACTGGCGCCAGAGTCGCTCAATGAGTACAGCAGCGCGCGCTCTCTCGAGTGCACTCTCCATTTCAATTTAGCTCAGGCAGCGTGTGGCATGGTTAATTGGGCAAACTCTCATTACACAAAATACTCTCCCACGCTGTGTAACTACAAATTTATAGACATATATTACATGGTTGCCGCTGTATTAAAAATGCGGCCACATTTAAAAAAAAAAGTAATTTCGTTTGTTTTGTTCGCGCTTGCCTGTGAATGCCATTCTTACTGCACAGCTGTATGAATGTCGGCATGTTGTATTTCCAGGTGAATGCCAATTTAGCAAGCTGACGTGTAGAGTTGCAGGCGCAAATAAAATCAAATTTAATAATGCAAACGAGGTTTATATTGATTATGCTGGCCCTGGTGCCCGTTGTGCTGTCAAAGAAGTTCAAGGATGAAGAGAAACCGGAGTGGGCAAAGAAAGATATACGTGATTACAGCGAAGCCGATTTGGAGCGCCTGCTGGACCAGTGGGATGTGCGTAAAGCTTAAAATTTATAAAAATCACCATAATATAATTGGCTTTGCAGGAAGATGAGGATCCACTAGAGCCGGATGAGCTGCCGGAGCATTTGCGGCCACAGCCAAAGCTAGATTTTTCGAATTTGGACAGCAAGAACCCCGAAGACCTGCTCAAAGTATCGAAAAAGGGCCGCACGCTAATGACATTTGTTTCAGTCACCGGCAATCCCACGCGAGAGCAAGGCGAAGAGATTACCAAGCTTTGGCAGACCAGCTTATGGAATAATCACATCCAAGCGGAACGTTATATGGTCGACGACAATCGAGCGATATTCCTGTTCAAAGACGGTGCGCAGGCCTGGGAGGCAAAAGACTTTTTGGTGGAGCAAGAGCGTTGCAAGGGCGTTACCATCGAAAATAAGGAATATCCGGGTGTACATGTTAAGGACGAACTGTAGTATTCATTGTATCTAAGCACTCCAAACGACATTCTCATGTAAAGTATTTTGTAAGCGCAAAAATGAACAAATTGAAAACTTTGAATTGAACATGTACCCATTTTTTTTGGCCATTCACGTGTTAACGTCCGGAATTTTGTGCCGCCCTCGTTTGGCTTGTTTACGTTTCAAAACGTCAAAATTTCGAGCTTCAGCTCCCCTCAATTTGACCTTAACAGACACAACGGCTTTGCCCCCTTGCCAAGAGGCGCGACCGCATAGTTGCGCATGCAAAAACGCCAGAAACATGCCTATTCAAGCCAAAATCGGTCCGTCTATACTAAATGCCGACTTGGCCAATTTGGCAGCGGAGTCACAGAAATTGCTGGACAATGGTGCGGATTATTTACATCTGGACGTTATGGACGGCACTTTTGTGCCAAATCTCACGTTCGGCCATCCCATGGTGAAGTGTTTGCGTAATAATATCAAGGTAAGCTTGTGGCTTGTATAAATTGTAGTCTAGTGTTTCGTCTTACCTTCGATTTATATGTTTGCATGTTCTCTATATAGGAGGCGTTTTTCGAGACGCACATGATGGTCCAGAATCCAGAGCAATGGATAGCTCCAATGGCGGATGCAGGCGTTAACCTCTATACGTTTCACGTGGAGCCCGTTGAGGATGTGAGCAAGGTCAGTCGGCTGATACAGGAAGCCGGCATGAAGGTGGGCCTGGCCATTAAGCCGGGCACCAAGGTAAGTTGAGGTTATGTGTACATGCGCTCTGAAACTGAAAAAACACATGTTGCTTGCAGGTGCAGGAAATTGAAAAGTATATTGACATAGCGGATCTTGTGCTGGTTATGACAGTGGAGCCAGGCTTTGGTGGTCAGTCCTTTATGGCCGACATGATGCCCAAAGTGGAATGGCTGCGCACCAACTATCCCAATCTCGATATCGAAGTGGATGGCGGTGTCGGGCCCAAAACCATCGATTGTTGTGCCAAGGCTGGCGCCAATTGGATTGTCTCCGGTACCGCAGTGGTCGGTGCCGCCGATCAGCGCCAGGTCATTGGCGACATGCGCGACGTGGTGAAGCGTTACCTGAAATAGGCTAATATGCATATTCAATAGAGTTTATTACTTAAGTCCAAAGTGTTTGCTGACAAACAAAATTTCCCGTTCAAGACACATTTTTTATACAATTTATATAAAGACAAGACTATTGCATTTTATAGTTTTATACATTTATTTTTCAACATTTATATATGTAAGTATATAGTATGTATATATGTATGACATTTTGCTTATAGCATTTAGTTGGTTATGCGTGTGTGTTGTCTGTGTATGTCTGTGTGTGCGTGTGTGTGTGTAGTTACACTTAGATTTATGCACATTCTTAGTTATTGTACGGCCAGTTTTGGGGATTGCCCTATAATATTAAGTTAATCTCTGGAAAAAATAATTTAGTCAGCATTTCCTTTACAATTCAACAAATTTCAATATAAAACGTTTCATAAATTCTCAATGCCGTTTGGGGACAAACAGAAAATCAGTTTTAAATTTTATTGTCAATGTTTTATATATTGTAAATTTTTAACAAAGATCTCGTTTGTTTTAGTTTTCAATCTGTGCATAATTAACAAGTGCATTTCACCAAATGATTATCTTTAAATATATATGTATGCATGTATGTATGTGTATATATATATATATTCTCATATCTGTGTAAACACACACATGTAAATTCAACTAGTTTTTTTTATTTTTAAATCAGCTTCTGGGTTTTTTGTTTTTCATATTTTTTGTCTTCATTTTGCAAATTTTGCTACATTTTACATTTAACATTTCGCTACATTTATTATATTGTCTTTGTTTGCATTAATTTAAATTTTTTTATTTAGTGTACATTCTCAAGCACATTGAAATTGAACAGTTCGAGCGCATCTGATAATTTATTAACAAAAGTGTTTGTTTCAAAACAAATTAGAACACGCATAGGCCCATTTTATTGTTAAGCATAGCAATTTTAACTAATATATGCATGCATGTATTCCATCCGGAGTTTCTGGCTAGTTGCCCATGTATATATATATATATAAATATATATATATGTATATATGCATGTATGTGTGAATGTATGTGTTGATTGTGTGCACATTTATTGTACTTAATTAACTCGTAATACTCGTATGCTAATGTAAGTGTACTCCTTGCCGAGCTGTACATATATATAGTATATGCATGTATATAACTTATTTCACTTGCCAATGCTAAGCATTATTACATCTATATATGTATATATATATTTATAGGTATATATGTATTTGTTTTATACTAAATATAAATAAAGCTAAGCGTTGGTTTCTTTGATAGTAGCCCGGAGCATAGGTATAAAAATAGCCCATCCTTAAACATGATCGTAAATGCAAAAAGCTGAACTTAAAAAGAAAAATTAAACAAAGACGAAATCAAGGGAAAAATTCAAAGGCATAAAGTACATTAAAACTGCGTGTACATGCAGACATAAATGGCAAAGTATAATGCGTTTAGAAATCTATATATATATATATATATATATATATATATATATGGTATATATAGTAATTGTCCTTGTTGTGTTATACTCATTTTCATAAAGCATTTGGTTTTGTGTGTGGTTGTGTATTGTCCTGCCCAGTCTAATATCTAAGCGTTATCCACTTGTTATCCTGCGTAATTATCTGCTCAGTGAACTTATAGTTTATATAAAGGATGCGCGTTTTACAACAGCCCGCTGTTCTACACACATACATACATATATACCCTATATGTATATATATATGTGTGTGTGTATATATGTATATGCACTTGTATAAACATTTGTGTTTTTGTCATTTGAATATGCATGTATAAATTTTAGACACCATCACAACTGCTTAAAGCTACAGCTACTTGATATAGTATATATATACCATATATTGTATATGTATATTCTTCTCGATATATGTATATTTTCTTGTATATATTTCACTTACACTTTATATTATTTCATTATTTCCGTTTCCCTCAGGTTTTTCGCTAAAAAAGAGTTTTTTATTTTTTTTGTCTGTGCCTTGTGTAATATGCGCTTCATTTGCCGCTTATAAATTATATTTGATATAGTACTAAGAATACTTGAATACTCTTTAATTTTTGGGTTTTTTTTTTTTTTTTGTAAACTGATTGTACAAAACATGCATATACAATTTGTATATATGTACCGAGCTAATGCTATACGCTTCTTATTTATTTATTTTTTTTTTTCGCTTGAAGGGATTATACACATACACACATTTTCGGATATTTATTTTTACTGGAAATAGTATACTCGTAATACTCATCTAAAGCGTTTCAACAAGTTTAGCTAGAAATGATAGTTAACAAAACTCAAAATAAAAATTGTTGCAGTTTTTTTTTTTGTAATTTCTTTTTAAGCCTGAAACAACCAATTTTGAGTCTTTAGTTACGCATTTCCTTCATTTAGCAAAGTAGTTGTAAATATTGTAGCACTCCAGCAAAAGACAGCCATATATAGATATATGTACATAGTACTATATGGCATAGGTATAGGCATTGGTATAATGCGGTACGAGTTGAACCGGCGCCCAAGTGAATTATGGAACTTAACTAAACTGAAGATCAAATTCTTTAGGATTGAATTCGGTTTGGAGCATAACTGAAAATCTGGCTATACTGTTAAGGTCTATTGTTATTTGTATATAAGTATATTTAAAGGTTCTTCCTTGGCGTCCAGTCTAATGCGCATGCTAAACAAGTACATAGCTTTAGTTGTATATAGCTATAAATATTAGTTATCATTACATTTAAAAAGCATGTATACAATTTAATTATCATCGGTTGACGTCCCTCTTTGTAAATAGTACATCAATTAAGCCGCCGATATATGCATGTATAATACATATATAAGTACGATTTGTAGTTCTTTTTTTTTTTTTCTTCTGCTAATTCTGTACTTTTTTTCCACATTCAATTTTGTTTATTTAAAGCTGAAACCCACGCATTGTAGTTAGTATTTTCATGACTTTGCTAAAACTAGTTCTTAGGCCTTAAATAGACGTTTCTTTTATGTTTAAACAACTACGACAAATTCACTTTAATTTTAAGGTTTTTAGGTTAGGTTTTTTAGTTTTGGTTTTTTAGGTTAGCTTTTTTTTTCTTGGAAAAGTTTTGTGCATATTTATTGTCCTTTGCACTTTTCAGTTAGGTTTTTGTATTTTAGCTGTTTGTTTTACTGATATATCCCATCATATGCTTTAGATCAGCAATAAATATTTTCCATTTCCCTTTAGTTTTCCTTTGGTATTGTCTATAACGTATTGGTTTTTCTAATTTCTAAGCGCATACACAGTTTAACACATAATAGTTATTAAATATAAATAATTACTTGTTTTTTCCATTGTGTTCCTTAAAGTTAATGCTTAGTTTTCTGTCGTTCTATAAGCTGTTTAATATTTTCCTTTTCTACTTTTTATTCTTGGCGGCAATCATACATTTTTGTTTATTATATTCTTTATAATTATATATGTATATATATTTTCACATTTACAGACATTATAGTGTTGTTTCTTTAAGTTTTTTGTTTTTTACATTTATCTTATGCTATATGTGTAGGGTTTTAACGAGATGTTCGTATCTCTTATATACTTTTGGTTTACGTAAAATTTTCTCTTTATCATATATGTTTTTATTGTCCACGGTTCACGATTATTTTGTAATTTTCTTAGACACATTGATACACAGGGATTATGTATGTATTATTTTTAGTTTCATTTACTAAATGTGTATTGACATTAGGTTTAGCTTTTCTGTTTCATAGAAAACTCTTTGTAAAAAAATTGACAAATAAATTCGGCAAATTGACATACAATAATGTTGCCCAGATTTTTATTCATTTCGTTTTAATTTTTCTTATTTTTTCTTTTTGGTTTTGGCTCAAAATCCAGCAATACCTCAAGTTCAGTAGCAAAATATATTATATGGTATATACTGTGTGTCCGTGTGTGTGTGTATGTGTGTGTGTGTTGAGTACAACAACAGCTTTTGTTTTGTACTTTGTGCAAACGTTTCAAGGATATGCTGTATTCAAATATCATGTCAATGTTCATGTTCATGTTCTATAAGCTAGGTATACATATGTAGAACTACAATTACGGGGATCGGGCATGGGGCGGGTAGCTTACTTACGCTCCTCACTGTCGTAGAAGTCAATGCCCTTGGGCTTGCCGTTGTGATAGTTGAAGGGCTTTCGCTTTCTCACGGGACCCGACGACATTTTGGATAGTATATCCGGCCCGCCGGGATGCAGGTCGTATTTGTGCACGGGCTCTTCGTTGGCAGGACGCGAATGCTTCTGTATTTGCTCATTTATCCAGGGCACATACCTGATAACATTCGCATAGACACCTGGCAGCTTGGGATGTGCGCACATAATGCCCCAGGAGACGATGCCGCCAACAAACCAACGATCCTTTTCGCCCGGATAGGGACATAATAAAGGTCCACCAGAATCGCCCTTTGGACATAATCAAAGTTTAAATACTTGCTTTATAACCCAGCGTTTAATTTTTATGTAATTTTAATTCAGTTTTTCTTCCATTAAGCAAATGTTTATTAGACTAAAGCTGATCGGACGAAAATTAAAAAGAATTTATTCAGAAAGGGCGTTAAAAATGGCCGCTTATAACCGTCTTCCGCCTATTTTCCGCGGTTGTGGGCGGAATATCCAAATTTTCTTAAGCACATACGCTTATGTAATATGGTCTTGAAGATAAGCCTCGGGCCGATGGAGAGAAACTTGAAATCACGCCCAGAAAATTCTTTAACACTACTTTCTACTTAGGGGGTGGATTTAGCGAGCCGTTTTCCGCCAATTTTTCACTATTTGCATGCGAAATTTGCAAATATTTCGTCCCATTTCGTAACCACAGTGCAAAATGCACCTTCCCAATTATCAAGGCCCTTACGTTGATCAGCCAGTTAGGATAAACAGTTTAATATATAGAGACTTACCTGACAGGCATCCTTGCCGCCATCGTCGAAGCCGGCACAGACCATGCCCTCGGAAACGGTGAGATTGTCCAACCATTCGTCACATTGATTGCGCGTGATGATGGGCACCTGCACCTCGTTGACTATAAACTCGTAGGTGGACTTGGCTGAATTGAAGAGAAAAAGAAATACATGAAAATCTCTTAAGCATAGAGCAAGAGAGAATAGGAGTGAGAGAGGGGGTACTTACGATCCTTATCCTCGCGCTTGCCCCAACCGATGACCGTGCACAGCTGCTCGGGACGCAGACTCTTGATGTTAGGCGGCGGCAGGCACACGGGCAGCAGATGCTCATGGAAAGCCACACGGGTGGCCAGCTATAAACGGATGAGAATAAAATGAGTAACAACGAGGATTGGGAAAGGCCGGGTAATCCACCTGAAACAGGGCTATGTCATTGTCATGCGCTATGGCCATATTGTATTGTGGATGCGGTATAACTGTCTTGACCTTAACCTTCTGACCCGTATAGGTAAACGAATTGCGACGCGTGACGCCCAGCTGTATGGTCCAGTCCTCCAGATCAATGACCGTATGACTGCCAAGGATCAGAGAGCTGTATAACTATGTCTACTAAAGTCTGGGCAGGAACTTACTTGCCCACACAGTGGGAGGCCGTGAGTACCCACTGGTCGGATATGAGGACGCCGGCGCAGTAGAATATCTTTTCGGGTCCACCTAGAATTGCGGCCAGAAAAGGCCAATTGCCGGGATTAGCCTGGGAGCCGCCTATAATGCGTCGCGAGGGCTTGTGGCGTCCACGCTTAACCTTGCCGCACTCTAAAGAAATCAACACGGAATCAACTCCAGCTCATCAGCTAATCAGTTATACAACCCACCGAAATTGGAGCAGGTGAGCTCAGCTATGGGATAATCTTCCGTTTGCCTGCAATTGGCGAACTCCTGCATCAGCGTGGACCGACGCTTGGCATACAGCTTCCAAATATCGGTGGACACATTAACCGAGGCCAGAAGCGGACGATGTGTGCGTTGGGTGACCACGCTTGTGGCATTCACGGCCGAATAGCCCAAGATGGAGCACACAGCACTCGGCGAGACGGCGCGATCCCAATTCTTGACACAGGCGGGCATCCACTGGCGCTTGTTGATGCGATAGACCTCCAAGACGCCAGAGCCCACATCGCCATTGCGTTCGCTAAGACGCACTGCAGCGAGGGGGAAAGCATATCAAATATCTGTGGGTGGGGATTGTTGTCCTTACAAAATACGTACAACAATTGCGCTCGTCCTGCGCGTATGGGCAATCGATGACGCCATCGCAGATGTGCTCGGTGCCAATGCAACGCTCGTCGCCGCAGTAGATCTCGCCCTCCTGGCAGCGCGCACAGTTGCCCTCATCCTCCTGATCCATGCAGTCCAAATGGCCATCGCACACATACTCCTTGGGCAGGCAGCGATTCGTGTCGCACTGGAAGCCATCGCACTTGGGATTCGCCGAGGATATCATAACTTCACGCACCTCATCCAAGCCCACACAATCCTCAGCGCTGGAAAAGTCCTTGAAGAGCTTGCAGTTCAAATACTCCGGCAGGCTCAGCCCAAAGACATCAAAGAAGAAGCCGCAGCGACGCATCGTCTCCGTGCAGAGCGTCTTACAGGGCGGCACGGCAGCCCTGTAGAAGGCAGATTATTAGACAAGGATCGAACCCCGCACCAACGTGAAGGTCTTAAGGAGTTTAATCCATGTTCAAGGCTGGAAAAACTAGAACTGAAAACACTTTGTGCACATCAATTCTGGTTGAAAGCTTATCCGCAAGTCCTTATAAACAACTTGTTATGGCAAGCGCAGAACATTTAATGCTCAATTCAATTATTATTATTATTATATTATCTTTTAAGTAAGTAAGCAGTACTGCCGTGCTTGGAGCTGCATTTCGAGAAACTACTTATTTACAAGTGCTTACAAGGTAAAACCACATTGGAAAACAATAAATGCGGGCAGAAAATTAACTATACACTAACTATTCACTAAATAGAAATCGAGGCACAAGAATACCAGGAAACGCACTCTTGGGTACCTTGGCAAGTGCCTTGCCTGCTTGCTTACCGGGCGCTTACAAAAGTAGACAGCTGCAAAGGAGCTCTTTAAATTAAATTTAAATGTTTGTGGTTTTTGTTGAATTAAGACTGAAAGGAAAGGATATCTTTGGTGCGCCAATTAACAAACCAGCTCTTTTTAAAGAAAACTTTATTTCCGACTGATTCCTATGGGAACTACATAATATAGTAGTTCGATTGGATGCGGTCTTGCAGCAGAGCTTAGTCTAGATATCTTGAAGAGTTCTCCCAACTAAAATTAATTTTAAAGCCGACTTTTATTAATAAAACCATATTATAGAGTAGTCCGATATTTACATTATTTCTTTCCCATGTAAATATTCCTAAGTGCCAGGTCAAGATATCTTTCAAAATAAACAAGTTTATCATGCAAGAACTTCATTTGCGATCTATATTTTCTCTGGTAGCTAAATAATATAGAGGTCCGATATTGAAGGATGTTAGTAAAACTAGCAAATGCTGCATTAGACAAAGATATCCTAGTAAAAAACCAAAAACGGACGAACAGACCTAAACGCAGTTTCAGTTTGCATAGAAACATATCGACTCGGCTATTCATTCTGATCAAGAATAAATATAGCTGAGTTCCTTTTATGGATTACAAATTTAATAAAAAATGACAATACCAAGATCCAGCAGATCTTGTATCCAACAGATACAAATTCTCCCAGCGATGGAAGAGGGAAGTATAAAACGCCCAAGGGAATAGCTGCTTTATCGAAACGGAAATGGGTCTAGATGCTTCAGAATGGAGCCATGACCTGAATCTAAAAACTGTAGAGACCTCTCTCTGAGGCTAGTCCTATCACCCGGCTGACAGGACGTTAACATCTTACCCTGCTGTACCTCGCTTAAGCTTTGTCCATGTGTGATACACTACCTGTCATGTATTCAACAATAATAGAGTATCAGCCGCAATAACTTACCCAGTTTGTCCACACTTGGGCACAAAGAGCGTACAAAGGAAGAGGGAGACAAGCTCGTAGCAGCGCACATCGACGAGTGCCTCGTAAGAGTCGAGATCCTGCAGATGAGATTGTTTAATGCACTGACTGGCAGTTCCTCACATATTTACCACTTGCGTCTCCAGCTGGCCAAAGTGGCCGATGTAATTGGGAAAGACGGTGTAATTGTAGGGTATCTGCGGTCCCTGGCAGAACTTGACAATGATGGGCAGACAGGTGCCCGGTGCCGGATTCTTGCCAAAGCTCGAGGTGTCCTCCACATGGATGGTATTGATGATCGTCTTGTTGACGAACTTGATCGTGGGATAGGCATTAAAATAAGCAGCCAGGCCACCGGCAATGGCCAGCAAGGCGAACGCATTGATCAGGATCTGGAACAGGCGGAACTTCAATCGCCCGTTGGTGATGTACGGATTCGAGCTCTTGCGCTGATTGATGATCTGTGAAAGAGGCGAACTCGTCAGCTGGAAACGGCTTCCAATCCAGTTAAGCCGCCCTCTCACCTGATGCTGCAAGGACATGGTGTGCGGTGCGCCGTTCTGAAAGCGCACGATGGTTTGTAGACTGCTGGGCGTGGCATTTGGGCACTTGCTAAGCGGCGAGAGCGTCTGCGGCGGCTCCAGCTCCTCGATGGGCTCATGCTGTACGCCCTGGCGACAGACAATCGGCGCCGGGGCGCTGCACAGCCGCTTGGCGGACAGCGAGGGCAGCAGCGGCGCCTCCATTAGCTTGGAATTGTAGCCCGGACTGGATGTCTGGCTGAAGCTATCGCTGGATATGGTCGAGTCCTGGCGAAAATTCATCTTGCCACGCATGGGCGCTGCCGGATTGCCGCTGCCAAAGCGCATTGGGGCCAAATCCATCAGAGGCTGACGCTGCAACACGCTGGGAGCTTGGCTCTTGCGTGCGCTCTGCGCCGATGCCAGCAGCGGCGTCTCCATTAGCTTGGAATTATAGCCGGGACTGGAGCTAATGGAGTAGCTATCACTGGACAGCGTCGAGTCCTGGCGCTGCTGCAGCTTCGGATAAACAATGGGCGGCGGCTTGTTGCGATTCAGCTTGTTGCGCACGGTCAGCGGCGGCGGGGCATGCACCTTGGCCACATTCTCCATGCACTCGAACGAATTCAGATTGCGCAACGGCGGCTCCGGCGGCCCTGGACGTTTCGGTTGACCGCCGCCAGCAGGAGGCAGCGGTGCGCTGCCAGCGGCGGCAGCATCCCCGCCGCTCAGCGAAACGGACGTGGAGGACATGGTCGCGCTGGATATGGTGCTCGAGCCGCTGCCGGCCGATGAGGTCGATGCCGAGGCCGAGACGCTGCTGCTGCTCTCCTTGCCACAGTCGCTCGACGAGTTGTGGCTGCCCTTGTGGCTGGGCGGCGGCGGCGGCAGCTTGCCCGGCAGCTGCGGCAACTTGCGTGCCGGCACCGTAGGCAGCTTGTTGCTGCTGTTGTTGTTGTTGTTTGTATTGTTGTTGCTGCTACCGTTGCTGTTGGCGTACAGATTGTTGTTCAGCTTGTGCATAACGTCGTTGAGCGCGGCTCGCTCCAAGCGGCACGTGTCCTTGGCCAGCGGCGAGTCAATCGAGATGGATAGCGGCTTTTCGTCCAGCGACGATTGCGTGTCCACCGATGAGAAACGACTGCGAAAATCCACACTGGTCGAGCTCGAGGCGAAACGTTCGCTGTGTGCGCCCGTCGTCGAGCCATATGCCGAGTCCACGGTGCTGCTGGAGGAGCGCTGCGCCCGCTTGGCCATGTGACCCGTGGCATAGCGGCCGCTTTGATAGCCGGCGACCTTGACAGGTGTCGAGGTTAGTGACTCATCAAAAACGGAATTCTCCAAGCTCATGCGGTCGTCATCCGATATTCCATCGGCATCCGCGTATGTCGGACGTGCGGCCAAGTCAACAAGCAGCGCTGATTGCCCAACAGCCACACCCACACCGACACCCACAGTCGCGCCTGTCGCCTCCATGCTCTGGTTTGTTGGCTGCGGATAAACAAACACGCTGCCATTTCCAGCTGCGGCGGCGGCGACGGTATCCTGGCCGACATCCTGGCTGGGCTGCCAAGCGCATTTAACGGCGCGCATCAGACGACGTGGTATGGGCGGCGGCGGGGTCACGGGCGTGTCCACACGCACCAGCTGCTGATGCTTGGCGCCCGCCATGGGAGCCGACTTGCAATATTTCTGATCCGGCATGTTTACCTGTCACACACACACACACACACACACAGACAGACAGAGATGGAAAGTAGAAAGTCAAATGGCAATTCGGGCGGGCAATGAGTCAGTCTAAGCCGCCGCTAAGCCGCAATGCAAAACCTGACACAGCTTTCTGCCCTCATGAAACCAGAGCCATAGCAGATGCAGAAGCGAATCTTGCTAGGTGGGTAGATGTGTGGAGGGGGGAGGGGAAGGAGAGGAGGGAGGTGGGCTTTGGGGCGGAAACTGAACTCTGTTTGTCCGCAGATTTGCGCGCGTGGCAAACACAAAACATTTTTGATTCGAGAAGCATGGATAGCAGTCGGAAGAAGGGGCGGGGGAGGCTTAGAACGAAAGCTGGCATTGTGCAATATGTGCATAGCCCAGGTGGGGGTAGTGATGGGGCTGGTGAGGGGAACGCAGGCTGTGCTATCGATAAATTATGCACCGCCAGCGAAAGTTTGTCCGCATAACTAAGTGCAACAGTGCGGAGCGTTTAGCTTTTTTATGGCCAGATATTGGCTGGAGAGGTGGCAGAATTTGTGCCCAAAATGCTGAGGAGTCGCCTTTTTAGCTCGGAAATTTTCGTCCTATTAAAAAACCTTCTCTTAGAGCGGAGCTGCAACTACGAGTTAGATGTTTTTCGGGATAGTAAAAGTTCGATTCGTACTAAATATGTCCCCACGTCTAGCTCCAAATAAGCTCTTGAGGATTTAAAAACATGTTGAGAATCCTAGGAGATGTTCTGGAATTGTTTTTGAATAAGTTAAAGAACTTTTACCAGGACTGCAAGCCCAAAAAGAACCCAACTTCCTGTCTGCCTGAACCTGAACCTGAACCTTTAAAATCGATATCGGGAGATTTTAGAGCAAAGGCCTGGGCACAAGTTTATTAGGCTTCAGAGCTCAGTCTCCTTCAAAAGTTTATAATGCTCAAGCAAACGTTTGTATTTAAGATTCGTTGCATAGTAGAAATTAAATTGGAATTCAATCCCGAACCGGCAGCCCTAATAATCCTTACCTTGCGACAGGTAAATAAAACCTAAACTATTGAAAAATAATATTATATATTTAAATCTATGATAAAAATAATTTAAGTTATTTTCTTTCTAGGAAACCCACATTTAAACTAACATACTATATCTATAGCTTTGCGAGTTCTTAAAACTTAGCAGAATTCCGTGCTCCAAGAATCATTCGTAGTTACCTTCTATTGCAACCAGAGCATATTTAAAGGGAAATTGTGCATTTTGTGAACAGGGCTTTCCCCAGAGTTTGGTCGAGTACTTACCAGAAACTCGGCAGCTGCTTGGGGTAGCTGGGTTGGCTTCTGCTTATCCTCGAGCATGGGATAATAGTGGGACGAGTGGCGACGCACAATGCTGCTGGAGCTGCTGCTGCTGCTGTGGCTGTTGCTGTGGCTGTGGCTGTTGCTGGGCAGGGGGAGCAGGGTGACCGATTTGCATTGCTCCTGTTGCTTGTCGTAAAAGTCCAACAGCGAGTTGAGCGGCAGAGCCAGGCTGGAGGCGCGTTCCGAGCTGCAAAACCGATTTAGAAAGAAATCACGCGAGTTATGTGCGTTAAGCTTTAGAGTGGCAGGATTTACCGTGTGCGGTTCCTTTGGGCATCGCTCGAGTGCGGATCCTGCGAAACGCTCAGAAATTGTTTATTCATATCTAGTGCGTTCATGTTTTAATCAGCGTCATTAAGCGAAATCGAACTGCAAGTGGCAAAAAGTTACGAATAAGTTAAACAACTTTTTTAGCAACACTCTATCGACACACACACACTCGCGCAAGCACACATACACCCACTCGGCTAAAGCGTGGCGCATGCTGTGCATAACTAATTTGAACTACGAACTACGAACTACGAGAATCCCATGCAAAACGCTGCAAGGCACATGAATAAAAATCAATTATGCAATCGCTCACACTTTGCACAATACGTGACGATACAGTGCCCAGAAATGCCCAGACAAAACAGTGCAGGATATAGACTATGCCTAACTGTGTGTAATTGTATATGTGTTTGTGTCTGTGTCTGCGTGTCCGTGTCCGTGTGAACGGCAAGCGGAAACGTTACCCTGCCACGCAATTTGGCCTTTTGTGTCTAATGGATATGCCATTAGCCGGTCACATAACAAAACACCGCCACAGACAATGACATTAGCTTCAGGCTGCCAGAGAGTGATCCTATAGAGACATCAAATATGTTGTTATTGGCAATGGCATATTATGAAAATTGTCACAGAGATGTGCACGTGTCGTGATTTTCTGCAATTACCAACAGCTGCCTGGTCCCGAAATGTTATTGAGGTTTTTCGTACAATTTATTGAATTTGTGATAGAGTCTTAATGAAGATCACAGTGTACAAGTTGAAATTATCTTCACAATCATCCTAGCCTTACCAAATACAACAAAACTTATCTTTAAACTGTTTTTTTTTAGTCTTCCTATTCCAATCCCAGCATAGCCCAAGCTTAACTAAGCTTACCTAACCCAAGAAGCAGAGGTTGAACATTAAATTAATTTTAAATGTAAATGAATTTACAAGTGTATTAGTCAAAATCATCCCAACTTAACATAACCTAACCTATCAAAGTCTAATCTAAGCATCGACAAACAACCCTAACCTCACATGTCAAAACCTAACCTAACTTTATTTTACTAAATTTAGTTTTTGAAGAGCTTTAATTAAAAAAAAAACTGGCTTGTAACTCTAAGAAAGGCTATAGAAAAACTTTAAATTATTACACAAAAATTGTATGCCCCAAAGAGTATGCTATGAAAATTAGTCTAAAAATGTTCTACATGGCGTTGACTTGGGTCAGCTTTCGATATAGATTTGAATAGTGTTAAAGTAAGTTTAAATGAACTTGTTTTGTAATGATTATGACAGCCTAAATATTTGTCCAAGTCTTTTTCCAGGCGTACTTATTTGATTACCTTGAATATTGTTTTAATAACTGAAAACAATCCGACTTCAACTTAAAAAGTGCTCAGCAAACAGTTAAATTTTCGACTTGGAATGCTCAAATATAAATTTGGACGGTCACGTGCGCATCCCTTGCCCAAATCCTTATAGTATATGTTCGTGGGTCAGGCGCCATGACAGTGTGCGTGGGTAGTTATAGTTCATTATCGCAATATTGTCATATTTCTATGGCATATATGTATGTATGTGCGTGTGTGTGGTAAGTATCTGTGGTTTATTGTCAGCCACTTTGACATTGCCCAATATTCATTTGTTGACACTTGCATCCCGCCCCTGCCAGCTGGCAGCTGGGCCTTAAAGCTGTCAGCGTATAATACACAATATTATGATGGCTCCATTGCCTTTGACATGGCCGACTAAAGCCGTCTTAAAGTTGTTGTGATTGTTCTTGTTGTTGTTGTTGCTGCTGCTGCTTGGCAGCTGGCAGCGCGAAATAATTGAACGATTTATGACTTACGCTCGATGCTGATGATTGAGAGCTGTCTGGCAGGCAGGCAGGGCAGGAGAAGTCGGCACATCAATTAAAATGTGAGTCAATAAAACTGATAATTAACTTTTGAGCAGCAGTGTGCTTAAGCCACAGGTAAGCATTAAAAATTAAAAAAAAAATGTGTATAGAGTATCTGTGTGTTGAGCATGCCCCTTCCCCCTGGGTAAGCGACCTAAATGTATGAGCTATTGCACAGTTTTCCAGTTTTTCACAATTCCAATAAATAAATAAAAAAAAAACAGGGGCAGCAGCAAAGCTGGCGCCAGAGCGAGACAGGTGCAACAGGTGAAAGTGAAATGCAAGCGAAGAGGGGAAAAATCAGGACAATGCATACACACAACAGCCAACAGGCTGCCAGTCACAGGCAGAGCAAGAACGAAAGAGAGAGAAAGAAAGTGTGTGAGAGAGAAAGAGAGAGAGAGAGAGGCAGGCAAACAGCTTTGCTTGATAATGTGTCAAGGACGAAAATTGACACTAATAGGATTCAATCAACTTTGACAAGTGCACACAACAACAACTGACAACTGACAACATGTCCTTGCACACGTATGTCAACCTGTGTGCCTGTTTGCATGTGTGTGTGCATGCGTTTGCGGTTTGCCTGAAATTTACTGTTTATATTCCGCAAGCTTCTCGAATTCTAAGAACTATTTTAATGCTAATTGCCGAGCTATTATATTTTCAACTTTGCATACTCACAATGTGCTTAGGTCGCTTGGGGAATTCCCATTAAGAGTCGAAATGCATTTAACCTAATTTTCTGCAGAGTTTTGTTGGGCACAAATAAATGTGCTGCGGCTGTTAAGGATAAGCTCCAACAAATATTTATGCCCAATAAGCGTGGACGTATTTAAAAAAGATTTAAAACAAATACATATTATTTTATTTCAATTGTTTTTAATAAATGATTTGCTAGCTTTTGGAAAGTCCATCTCGCCTGGATGCAAGTGTGGGCCAAGGCTTATTTGGAGCAAATTTTAAACATTGGTCGATAGGCTTTAAGCATATTTTTGTTTCAAGGATTTGGATAATTCCCATCCTCAACTCGAGTAAATAATTGAAAAATAATTAAATAAATCTTTCGATCCATTTTCAAATATCTTCGGGAACATTCATTAGATGTGTTTTCGGAAATTTTACTCCCTTTTTTCTGGCTAACTTTAATTTTAATATTTATTTGTTATCATATGTATAAAGCTTGCCTTTCAAAGGAATATCAAAAGCTAATAAACTTTGTATGAAGAGCATTTCCAGCTAATTGGCCCTCACTAACTTTTATTTAATTTAACCTACTTCCAAGCAAAGCGAAAATATAATATACATATTTTAATAAATTGCACATCCATGCACATTTTGTCCATTTCAAACGAAAATATGCAAAGCATTTGCAGTGCACAAATATTTATGGGCCACTCAGCTGAAGTATGCCCGCATTTTGTTGGCCTGTGCGCACAAAATAACTTTGCTGATTAACTTGAAATTCCGTTTGCCATTTCCATATGCCGAATGTAATTTACTGCGTTAACTGTGTGCAAATATTTTCAGCTGTACAACTGGTGGTATACTTAATATTGTTTTTCAAAGTAATCGGAAAAGAAAAGCAACAACAAGTGCAGCTTATATGGAATTTAAACCTTTTCAAACTCACGTCGAAGCCTTGATTCAGCTCTTGGCCAACAATTTATGTGCTCGCTGTGATTTGTGATTTGCAATTTGTTTGGCATTTGAAAAATGTCTCCTTTTCTTTTCTTTCTTGTTGAGAAATTGACACTTGCGAGACGAGTGTCCCAGTTGGGCGCATTGACCCCACTCGGCGTCTGTTTATCTTGCACTGATGAGGCTGCTGATGTTGCAGCTAGAATGTTGTCAGGACTACAACAACTTGAGGCAGAGTAGTACATTTTGAAGCGTCCACTCGGCCACGCCCGACTGGTTAGTGGAGGCATCCTTGAACACGCCTCTAACCGGCACATAATCCGTTTTGGCCACATGCGAGTGCCTCTTGAGGCCAGACTAACAAATGCAAACAGTTTATGGTTCATATGAGCTCGCAATTGGCATTAAGCATACAAATGCTGAGCAAATATAATTTATTTGTGTGTGTGAGAGTGTGTGGAGTGTGTGTGCATACACATTCATACGGCATTTTCTATGCATTTTTATACCCTGAACCCATTAAAAATGGGTATAAGGTATAAGGGTATATTGTACTTGTGCAAAATCCAAATGTATGTAACAGGCAGAAGGAAGCATCTCCGACCCCATAAAGTATATATATTCTTGATCAGCATCAATAGCCGAGTCGAATGTCCGTCTGTCTGTCTGTCTGTCCCTCCGTCTGTCTGTCCGTCCGTCCATCCGTCCGTCCGTATGTATGAATACAAGGATCTCAGAACCTATAAGAGCTAGAGACTTGAAATTTTAGATGTAGGTGCTTTTAGTGCCTGCGCAGATCGAGTTTGTTACCGATAATCGATAACTTACTCCGTTTCCAAGCAATCGATAATCGATATCGATATCCTGTTTTTTCTGCAATTTTGGTAAATAATAAGAACTAGAGTCACCAAACTTGACATCTAGCTTCTAATATAGAATATATATATTAATTTGATGTTGGAAGAAGAAGGTTCAGGGTATCCCCTAGTCGGGAGCTCCCGATTAGAACCTCTTACTTGTTAATGCTTATTTGCTGACAAAAAATGTGGGGCAGGCAAAAGGAAGCTTGAGCCGCAAAAATATTCAATTATTTTCCTTTAGCAAAGAATTATGTAATGGAAGTCTTCTGCTAAAGCAATTATGCAAATTGGAGTAATTTTTTGTAAATTTTAGTAATTTTTTCTTATCTTCAAGCGAGAAGAATTGGTTCTCCTTTTCTTATTTCCAAATTCGCGATACGGTAGATATAAAAGCGACAGCAGTCCTTGCTCGTATAGTCTAATACATTGCTCCAATTGAAATGCGACATTTCCAAACAACAATATCATTGATTATTTTTAACAGTAAATACTTAATCTTACTCAAAAACGCAACCGTTTTATAGGGTAAACGTTAAGAAATAATTGCGAGCTGCCAAACTGTACTACATCATTAAAATGCCAGCACATGAGCATTATTTTTGGAGCGGGTTTTTTGGGGCTGTGAGTTATGCAAGCCAGGGCCAATTACGAAAATGTCCCATCAAATTGCCTGGGGCCATTGCCTAATTTGTCTTGGCAGCATCCTGCCGGGCAGC